GATTCTGACTATACAGAGCAGCTGAGATTGTTAAACATCCTGCCTCTGGCGTTGTTTCTCCAGCTGAACAAGTTACTGATGATGGCGAAATTCATGCATGAAGAAAACGATCACATTAAGCTCCCAGCAAAAATTGAAAATCCAGGAAGAACGAAAGAAATGTTCAACCTAAACAAGACCAGAACTGAAAAAGCTAGAGGAGAGTTTACATCAGGACGTGCCGTCTAATAAACCGACTAAATCAGAAAATTGAATTTCGAGAAATGCGAGGCTTAAAGCGAAGATTGATACAGATGATGTGGAAGTTTTTCGACGATCAATTCTCAGAACAAAACAAGTGCACATGGGTCCTCTTCTGTGACTGCAACATGTGCCGAAATAACTGGACAAAATTTTGAGAACTCTGGGGATATCATCCCATCAGTATCCTACTGAAAATTCACAACAACAACAACAACAAACAAAGAGGAAAATTTTTATTGTGGCGATTCAATGGGAAAACAAATGACACTTTATCAAAATGTTAGCGCTCGGTTCAGGCAAAATGTTACTGCCATGACTGACTCAAAACCTCAAAACCAAGACTTGTGGGCTTTTACTGTATTTATTTTGCTTTCTTACCGTATTCTTATAGAGGTGATGTGATTGAAAATGCTATAACCTACGTTGAAGATGTTAGAGAACAAGAAGTATATTTTTCATTGATTTGATTTTTTCACCACTGATACAGTGGACAGTTTCTAGAAAAAACTAATCCTTGAAAAGAATATACTGAAAACATGAAAAAAAAACGGATGAATAGAACTTATTCTTAAAATAAGTATTTACCAAAAAGATTCAATGAATGAAACTATTTCTTGATAAATACCAAAAGCTCAATTTTTGAGAGGCAATGATTTCAAAAACTAAAAAGTGAGAGAAGGATTTTCAAATCTTTTTGTTGTTAAAGAAACCTACCCCATCTGTTAAAAAACACATTTCTCACGCTTCAGAAAACGAAAAAATTTTCTCTTATTGAAATTTTGCTTGCGGTTATCGGCGTCCCCACCAGCGCGGGGGTAACTTCTGTTGTTGTCGAATTTTGATTAAGTGAAATTTCATAAATTTTTTTGTGAGAAAATTTGTTTACGGTCAATATTCGGCGTCCCCACTCACCACGGGGGGCAACATCTGGTCTGGGAAATATTTGAACTGTTCAATATTTGTTTACGTTCCTCCTTAAATGAGCAAAACATTTCTAGATCTTTGTACACAATGTAAACCAATAAGAAAGGTCTCCATTTTTTACGCAGTGGTTTACTCCGACTATAATACTCAGAAAATTTTTTAAAAGTTCGGAATAAAATTAAAGCATTCCTGCGAAAGTATCATGAATTAACAGTGCTTCTTGTTCAGTAACCGGATACTTTTGTAATTCAATCTAACTTGGTAAGTAGAGTTTCGATCCGGACATGTTAATGCTTTCCGCAGGTCACACGTTGAATCCCTGACACAACGAGCACTTGAGCCGAATGGTTCATTGGCCGAATTTTTAGTGGGCAAAACAAAGCCCGGTTTGCACACACATTGGCCTAATCTGCAAGTTGAGTTGGACACACAAGAAATGGCACCATCACATCTTTTCACACAATTGTCTTCGCAAAGTCTGAAAAGACACATCAATCGGCAAACATAAAAGAAGGCTTTTGATAGTCGCTTTATGATTAAATTAAAATTTTTGCCACGCATATTTTTTTTTTGTTTTGTTCAAAATTTTCAAGGTTGTATAGAGCATTTTAATTTACTTAGTTTTCTCTATATTATAGTTGACGCAACATTTTCGGCATTATCCTTTTCAGTTAACCAATCTGAACGAAGTTAATTGACATAAAAATGTTCACTTTGACCTCGGAAATCATTTTTGACTCATACAAAATCAAAAAAAAAAACAACCAAAAATTGAATTTACTTTTAAAAATTCGGGCCAAAATAACACACCTCCCCCAATTTAATTTAGGGGGGAGATTGCTCATTTGGTTGATTGAAAGTAATAATTTTCAGCCAATCGGATGTGAGTATAATACATGCAGGCCTTACGGCTTGTATTTGTCATTTAGTTTTTCAATTGGCCTATTTAGGGGGGAGATTGTTCATATAGGCCAATTTTTCTGTCTCAGTTAACTAAAATGCACAAAGTCACCGATTTTGTCAACAATTAAACATTCAATATGTTTAAATTAAACAAATCGATTCTGGTTAACTATTCCCCCACCCCCTTGCAAAAGGGGGTAGGAAAATCGTTACAAGGTGCAAAATTCTTATATGCTTAACTGATCATTTTTTTAATAGGGGGGATTCGTTACTAGGTACCATAGGGGAGAAAAAGTTAACAATATCCAACAAATCGAAGCATTATTCACTGAGAAACATTCACCTGAATTGTTGATTGGGATCCTCACAATCACCTGGACAGTCCTGCCTTAAGACACACATCTGACTTTTCAGATCCTTCACATATCCATCTTGACAATAACACCCAGCACGACACAACGAGTTACTGACATGGTCATTCGAGATGCGACACAGATTCTGAAGGTTGTCCTGGCAGGTTTTCTCGCACGGAAGGTTCCCGCATTCGGCGAAAAGCATGTTCGGCTTAGAGGGACATAGGCTACGACATTCACTTTCGGATATACACTTGCCTGAAATGAAGTTGATAACACAGCCTGCTGTGAAACTGAGCTTAACACCACTTGCGATGCAAAATTGAATGCCTGTGATTAAAATCAAATAAAAGAATAATAAAAAAAATTGAAAAAAAAACTTCAAAAAATTGTTTTTGTCAATCAAAATTAATGAAAACTGCAACAAAAACTCGAAAAAAGATACGTGCACCACTCAAAAAATTTATTTTTGCCGAACTAAACCGACAAAAAAAGGCAAGCATACCATAATCCAAACTAGTCAAAATTTTTCAGTTTGCAAGAAAACGGGTTTCGACTGAATCAAACTCCTGGGCTTTGTCGTCTCAAGCATGGAGGTTACAGCATCTTGGAATAAAAATGAAACTTCAAAAAGATTGGGCTACGGAAACTAAGCGAGAAAAATAAACAGACGGACGATAAACCGAACAAATTTGCAAAAAAACAGGTCGCGTTCGGATTCGAACAAAATGCATTTACCATCACAAGCAGTTGTGTTTCCTCTACGCAAGATGTGTTTTATCGTTGATTGAATTTGAATTTATATTTATCTAACAGTAACAAAGCCGAAAAAACCATAGCAAAAACCCTTCATACCAAAAACGAAATCAAAAAAGTTCTTAACTAAAAAATGTAAGTCTCCCTTTCCCTAAAAAACACATACGCACACATGAAATTTTTTCGATCATCGACCGACGCAATAAGAGGCTCATAACTTGATATAAAACAAGGATAGCCGGTTACTGTGCAAGTAGCACAGAATCTTCCAACCATAGTCTTAAAAAAATCCAACAAAAAAGTTTTTTTTTCAAACTAGTGTCTTTTTTTTTTAGTCTTGGTGGGATAAAAAAGAGCTGAGAGAAAAACTAGAGACTCAGCATTTCAAAAGGCATAGTAAAATAAGCATATTGAAAAACAGTTTTTGTAGTTTTTTTCACATTTCACATTTTTTTGCAGTTTTTTGAACTTTTGAAGTTTTGATTCAAAAAGGCTCTAAAATGCTCAAAACTACTAACGTTACTATTGTAAAACTAAGTTTTTAAGCTTGAATTTAAGCTATGATAAGCTATTAATCACCTAAATTAAGATATTGTAAGCCTCCTCGCTCGCTTTATTCGCTCGAGCTAAGACGAAATACCAAAAACTTCAAACCGGTTTTTCTCAACACTGGGATTATTTTTTTTTAATTTTAATGTAATTTGAAAAACAACTGTAAGGTCTTTAATATGATATATCACTCAACTCTCTCCCATGATTATTGGTGGTAGCTGATTCCGAGAAAAAAAAGATAAAAAAACTAAAACACACCCAAATACCAAGTTCCTCCTCATTTTTCAAATGGTCGAAACAATAAGCCTATTAAGACAATGAAAAGACAAAAATTAAGATATCGAATTGTTAAATATACAGCCAAAATAAAAGGCAAACTTTGATTCGGCCTTATATTAAAAATGCTAACATAGCAAAGTATGTCTGTTGCAACAGACAGGCCCAGTAGATGAATAAGTCCAGGAGATGGTTGTGTCCTGTGAAGAGTATCATTTACGGAAAAAAATTAGTTTCCGATTGAAATGCCCTGGTTTATTGCAAGGGTAATCAACAAGATCAAAATTCCGATGAGTCTCTAAAGAACCATAAACGCAAATGAGAATTAAAAGAAAAAAAATCAAATTATTGTGAGATAATTACAAATTACTGATAAAAAAAACATATTAGCTTATAAGAAGATGGTGACTAAAATTGACTGTTCCTATATAATGCAATCACTCTTCTAGAACCAGTTTTAATATTCCATGTTCCATCTGGTACATGGAAACAAAAAAAACACCTATAACGATCATAAATAGTGGATTTAGAGGTACCTTAAGATATAAACTCACAAAAGTCTTTTTTTTTTTACAAGTTACAAACCATTATGATCAAGATATCCATCCATGCAAAAACAGCCACTGCCACAGGTCAAATTATCGAACCGATCCAATTGCGAAAAGCAGAACTTTTCAACCGAACAGTCTTTGGAAACTCTGTTTTCGGCTAAATTGCACAGCGGGCAGGATGTCAAGGGGACGCATTTGTTCTTCACGCGTGCGAATCCCTCTTTGCAAAAGCAGCCTGCAGTGCACTTTCCACGACAACTTCCACGAACAGAGGATGAACACGACTCGAAACACGAGAGGCCACAATCGATATATTGCTCGTTCGGATCGTCACATGCGATGTTGCAACTGCACAAAAAAAAAAGATTTTTTTTTTAATTTTGACATATTCGTCGTTTTTTTTCTAAAATTATATTTGATATGAGTTCAAATAAGTTTTTTATTTCAACGCATCGAGCCATTTTTAAAACACAATCTCTCGTTTTTCACAACTCACGTTTCTTTTAGAACACAAGTTTTCCTTTCGGAGTCATAGACATAGCCCGAATTGCAGAAACAGCCAGGCACACAGCCATTTGGAGCAGAGTAGCAGTCTTCCGTGCAAGTTTCCACACATTTGGGTCCGCATTCCTTGAACTCCTGATTGTGTTCGGAGCACACTAAACAAAACTGGCATGCTCTTCTACCGTCCCTTCAGCCCCTCCCCCCTAATATAACATTTTTTGTTTTCTAACTTTTGTCAACGTGGTCCAGTTTTCACAAAAATTGGCAGGTGGCTGTATTATGCAATTACAAACACACTTTTCCTTTTTTACAACTTCATTAAGCTATTGGATGCAATGTAAAATTGACGTTTCTGTACAAAAAAGGGAACGTTGGGGAAAGTGTAGCTAAATGGTTAATTCGGATAGATTTTCACTGCACGTTCTGAACTCCTTTTGACAATTTTTGCGGTTTTTATCTTTATTTCGAGAGCTGCATATATATATAGTTATGCCAATAACGTGATACAAACAACACAAACCCATCAAGAGCTACGCAAAAAGCGACAAAAATCAAGATATGACCCTAAAAACCTCAAATACAAATATATTAGGCAATTATATTTTTCACATTGATAATGATTCGATTTATGGTGCAAAAATGCGAACACCGCACCCGGTCGTTTTTACGTACAAATATAAAGATACAGGTTGGTTGTTACTAACCAGATATATCTGGCTGTACGAAGACATCGACGTCCTTGAGAGACCTGATAGCCGTCTGGCTGCCCGTTGTCTCTCTCACTTTCTTCTCCACATCATCCGGACTTAGTTGTGAGTCTGATTTAAGGAACAATTTCAAGTTTTGGCCAGTATTAATGAAAAAAAAAGGATTTTTTTATGCAATAAAAAATGAAAGTAACTATTACCCGATTTGACAAAAATGCTAGTTATTCAATTCTCATACAATTTCCCATAAATCGATATAATTGAAAATTGTATAAAATCTCAATGCCTAGCATTTTTCACATTTGAGAATTGTATGACAAGCTTTTTTGTATGGAATTGTATGACCAACACTTTTCCATAAACAAAAAAATTGGGCTTTTTGCGGACTTACTTTAATTCTATCATTTTAACCAAATACACTGTAACCCTGGATAATAGAGACCCATATATTAGAACGAAATTAAAACTCTCATAGAAAAACTGCATTTGAGATTGCCATGAAGTAAAAACTATCTCTGAAGCAATTATATCATAAAAACATAGCGAACAGACAGTTGGAAAATGAATCAATGAACTCAAGTAAACAGAAAAAATACTGAATCGTTTTTTGAAAAAAATTTCAACAACCGAAGAAAAAACAAATGGACTTAACGCTCTTTGAATTTCTAGAAAGTTTTGAGTTTGAAACTTTTGTTGATAAAACTAACCCAATTTGAGAAAACTGGATCAACATAATTTTTTGATTCCGTTGGAAAAAATGAAAATTAAATTCCCCTTTCGAAACTAGAGGTCAAAAACGTTTTTCGCGACTTTTAAATTTTTGCTGTTCGATAGTGGAGTTTGCCTTTCTTTTATATAAAACTGAACTGAACTTTAAAGAAACCATAAGTAAAACCGCGAAAAATTACATTTGAGCCTGACCGTCTAGACTTTTCCTGAAAAAAAAAATCGCGACATATGTCAGAGAATTGACTACGTTCATCAACTTTTAATCGTTCAATTTCTTTCAATTGGCGCTTCTTACAATTTTTGGCCAACCCGAATCAATGAGTGAATTTTTGAATTCTCAAAAAATGCATGTCATACATTTCCCATAGCATGCGAATAGACAAACTGTACACTATGAGGCCAAACTGTGCACTAGATAGTCGCATAACTTTGTGTTTGTAGGTCTCTGGAATCTAGAGACAAGTCTTAAAACATGTTGAACTTTTGTCGGATTAATAAAAAAAATGAAAGAACAAAATAATAAGAAAGAGAGCATCCTTGTAGTGGAATTGTATGACCGGGTTGTCCTCCATACAGCAAAATTGCTTAGTGTATGGAAAACTGTTTATCATAAAATTCCAAAAATGGTTGAAAAAAGATATAAATTAATTTCTGTGACTGTTTGATTCAAATAAAACAATCTGATGAGAAAAAATCGAGGTTTTTGTTTTTTGAAAAAAAAATACTTATCATATAATTCCCATATATGGAAATTGTATGACTAACATTTTGTTTGATGGTGATACAAAAAATTTTTCTCAAGTTTTTTTTGAAATTGAAATTTTTTTCAACCGCAAAACGAATTTGCTACACAAGCAAACAATTTCCAAAAACTTTTTTTGCATGCAAAATTTAATTTTGTGTCCATAACGTAGTCCTGGATACACAAAAATTGGATTTTTTTGGTTCTCTGGATAATTTATTTCAAAAACGTTCAAAACGCCTACTTATTTTTTATGGCATGTTTAGGTATGCCTAGATCAATCCATGAATAATTAAAAACTCAAACTTCGAAAATTATTATCTTTGAAAGTTTTTGCCACAATTTAAAAGTTTGTTACTTTCTTTAAATCATATGTGAAAGACAGCTTTAAAACAATTCGGGTCGTGTTGTATGCATTGTAAGTGCAAGATTGTCCAACGTTTGGTGCTTTAAGTAAACCAAGGTCTTTGTCACTTGCGTTCAGAAATTAAATAGAATTTTCATATATGGAAGAATGCTTATCATAGAGATTTCATACAATGCATGGCATTTTTGTACGCATGGCATTGTATGCAATTGTATGTAAGGAAATTTTTCATTTATGAGAAATGTATGACAAGAAGTTTTGTTCAACCCGGTGACTAGTATTTTTGGTGTATGAAAGTCAGACCGGGTAACCAGAGGGTTATTAAAATTTTGCCGGGTTGTTGAATTTGGTTGCTGAATAGTACCCTGGCCAATGCTTATCACAGCTAAGCCATTCTCGACGTCATTCAGATTTGGAAAAACAATGGAAGAAGTTGTCTCTGTTGAGAAAAGCTGTTCTGAACTTTGAAAAAAAAAGAATTTGAGACTAAATTAGATTGAGACTGATAGGAATTTGATTGGAGGTGAACAACAAAATTTCCTTCTAGTTCAATTTTGACGTTATTTTAGCTTTTGATAATCACTCATTTGTGCATTGTTTTACCTAATTCAATCTCCTTTTCCCGAAAAAATAACCGGGAAATTTTGGGTAAAAATGAAGAAAAAAAAGTTAACTGATAACTCGATATATTTGATTATATTTTGGGAGTCAACTATACTTTTATCAGTGTAGTCGGAACATTCTGTGCTACTTGTACAACAACCGGCTATCTTTTTTTCTTTCATATAAATTGATCATACATATGTTTGGTTTAACCATTCCCAAAAACTATTCATATTAAATGAAATTTCTTTTTCAATTAACTGTGATTCCGTGGTCGAGCAGGAAAAAATCATCGAAAATTATATCATCAATGACGGTTGTGGAATGTGAAATTGATCCCTGATTTGTAGATGACTTCAATGTACGCTTTGACTACTGGAGGAGAGTCAAGAGAGGGAATGGAACTGGCCAGGACATTTTTGATGTCTTGCACTTGGACCGACTGGACTCTCAGATCCGGTTCCAGGGCTGATTTGACCTAAACTTGACAATTAAATAATACCACATTCCTCCAAAGTTCAGCGAGTTTCATGCCGGTGAACATGTTAATGACTGCTGTTTGTTATCTATACTCAGCAGGGGCGGATCTAGGATTTTCTCGAGGGGGGGGTCGGATTTTCAAAAAAAAAAAATAGAAATTTTAGGCCTTTTTTTAGGTCGACCAAATTGATTTTTCGAGCTCTCCCAAAGCACTGAAAAGTTCGTGTTTTGGCCAAATTTTCAGCGCCGCTGAAAAACAGGCTAAAAAAGGCGTTTTTAGGCACTTTTTGGAAAATTTTGACGAAAAAATTGCCGTTTTTTGGCGCGCGCGCCGCTCCCTTCAAAAGTAGTATATATTGGCGCCAAAGGCGCCTTAAGAAAAATTTTAGGGTCCGTCACCAAAATGGATTTTTCAAAATAGTACAAACGGGGACCCCTTGGGTCGGCAGGAGGCCGAATCCCTGAGGGCAAGGGGCGTCCGCCCCCTCCACCTAAATCCGCCCATGATACTCAGTACATAATTCAGATCGAATCCAATAAATGACAGTCGAAAGAATTTAAAATAGATTTCGATTGCAACACTACATTAGGCTTTGAAAAATTCCAGTACAAATGGAGCTTTTTCAAATACCAGAATTTCAAACAACCGGAAAGACATCGATATTGACATTTTTATGAAACGAAAGATTTTTATTCTCGAATTTTTAGAAACACGTGTCTGAGGCAATCTGAAATTATCATCATTAGTTTGCTGATTTTGTCTTTTTGTCTATATTTCGAAGCATGAATTTTTTTAAATGCAATAATCTACCACTTCGACGATCAGATTTATGAGCAGTTCCTGCTTCATGGCTTGAACTTCCATTCCGAACGTCATCACAAGAGCCAGCTTGGCGTCGGGTCCTGGAAACAGTGATTCAATGCAAATCATCAATATATTAAGAACTATTTAAGCCCTCTGTAGTAGAGTAAAATAAAGCAATCCAGAATCTTGATGCTCGTTGTTTTATACAAGAGTTATTTCAGCAAAGCAGGCCGCTGAATACAGAGTCATACTAAATTGAATAATAATCAATAACTTAGGCTCATATCTTTCGTGCAAGAACTGAATAAACACAGAGTTGAAGCGGAGCATCGCAATACTTGCGTTAGAATAAAGTGAGTAGAAAAAGAGGGGAGAACAGGATTTTTCTAAAATTGAGTTGAAAAAAAAAGGTTGAAAACAAATTTAGAAAAAAAAATCGATTACCGTGCCGTAACTAAGGGAAAAAATCTGGTTAATCACCTGTTAAACGGAAAACAAACAATTGTCATAAAATATTTGGAACTAAAAAACTGAAAGTTTCACAAAGGGGCGGAGCTTCGCTTCGCAAATACTTGCGAGAACACGACAAAAAGCAGCTCTGTAAAGTGCAATAAGAAAAATTAGAAATAAGCCTCGAACTATTAAAAATTCGGCTACCTCTGAGATTCGAACCAGCAACCTAGAGATTAAGAGTCTCACACACTAGCCACAAGAAAGCAGAAAACAGATGATATGAATATTCGGCTCCTTTCCACTCCCCCCCCCCCACCTTTCAAAATATCGAGTTTTATATTCGTGTTTTGTGTTATTAAGGCTAAATGCATTAAGTTACGATGTAAAGTATGAAGAACAAATCTGTTCACAGTCATCGATTAATTAAGCTTTTCATGACAACGTTAGTTAAGCTTTTCAAAATTGAATTTGAGAGGGGGACCTGGAAAAGAGCCAAAATTTCCAATGCTACAAATCGTGATATTATAACAAAAGTACCACCAAATAAGAAAACATCTATAATGAACACTTTTATTTGCGATTTAGGTAAGAAAAAAAGAAGGTTCTTAATAATACACTGAGCTGATCGCAAGCGTAAAAAATTGGTCTCAAACCATACTCTTAGTCGTTCCTACTGAAATCAACTAGTAGTCGTACCTTTTTTCCGGACACTACTTTCCATTAACTTTATTGAACTCAATATCAATATCAATATCAGGTTTGGCAGGATGGTTTTGAAAAAAGTCGAAAAATTTCCAGAAAACATTTAACAATTCGGAAAATGGACTTATTCTAAACCATATCTGCTTTTCTTCAAAAAACTAGGGGGCAGCCGTTGATGCAGGGAGTATCTATACACTATGTTCTTTTGATTGAACCATTAACCTCACAATTGGCGGGGTAGCGTTTGAGAAAGGAAAAAAAATTTCAATAAAACGATCGAAATCTCTAAAACTTGACTGTTCCTAATTGATTACAATTTTTGAACAAAAAATATGGCATAGCTGCTTCTACAGAGAAGTTTCTAGCATGCTACTGTTTCTATTGAACCTATAATCGCAGAGCCACTTATACAAGGAAAATTCCCAATGCCAGTTATTTTGATTTATTTCTGCATCTGAGTTATGGCAGGGTAGTTTTCAAGAAAAGTGAAAATAGAAAAAAAAATCCCAAGGACATTCGGCGTAGTAGTCTCTGAGAAAAAACTCAAAGAATACGAGTCAAAAACTCGCCCCGTTGAAATTTCCGAGGCCCGTTGAAAAAAATAGGGTAAAAACAGGCTAGGGAACTATGCAGTTACGCAATGTAGAAGCCCATTTCGATGAAACCAATTTTGAAAATCGGTGAAGCAGTTGTGAAAATATTTAGCGAAAAGTGAAAAAATATTTTCCAAAGCCTCTCAAAAAAACATTCAAAAAATCCCATACATTTTCATAATCCTTTATTTTGTCCAACAGGAATATTTGGCTCTTAAAGTTATGCAGTATACGTTGTTTAAGCCGATGAAACATAAGCAGAAACCGTTTTGATAAAAAAGTCTGAAAAACTATTTAAAAAAAAAACAAAATCAAACCTGGTAAAATAACAAATTACATAACTTTCAATCATTGTAAACGTATTTAAAATCAAAACAAAATTCATGCTTTACAATGTAAGCCGATAAACAACAGTACTAGAAAACATTATTTCCAGTTTTATAAAAACGGAAAATGATTCGACTAAAACTAGGCCGAAAACCAGTAATCCTAAAACATTGAAGAAGTTGAAAAAATAATAATTACTGCCAAAAACGGATAACACTTATTTGCTTCCTAAATGAAGGTAGTTTTATTTGAATTTTCAAAAATTTGAAATTTTGAAATTTACCATTTTAAGCATTCTGCGATCAAATTTATTTACTGGAAAAAAGTCTAGTACCTAATTCCAATAACCTTGCTTGTCGCAAGGGTAATAAAAAGAAGTGAAAACTTTAAATTTCAAGACAATCTAAGCTATAACACTTTTTAAAAATTAAATAATCGGTATTGACGACCCGATCTATTCAACCCGATTCAAAAGAGTGGGTTGAGTGTATTTTCTATAACAGACAGGAATAGAGGTTAATTTGAAAAAATCTCACCTTTTGTTTCGGCAGCAACCATATTACTCCACGTGTCTCCATTTCTAGGCACCGAAAGAATGGGTCTCACTCGGAACACGTACACAGTGTCCCCAACCAAGTTAGAGACTACCCTGGATCGAGTAGATGAGTCATAGAGGGCCTCTCTCACACTGGAGTTGTCGAAGAATGGTTTGTCGTCATATTGCAACTCAAAACCTGTAAAATAGCCAATCGGAAGTGTTACAATTGAAAGTATTAACATGAATGCCTGCTTCAGATTCCGACTACTAGACGGGGAGTCTCTCAAACAGGAAGGAAAGAGCGCTCGTAGAATATTTCAGCCAATCAGAACTCAGTATTAAAGACTTCGAAACAAAATAACTGCCTGAAAAAATGGTTTAAGTTCCCATTTGATAATGCTGGTTAATCGCAAGCGTAATCATTTCGGAGCTGGACAAAGCAGTCGTCAATACAACGCGCTATAGAAAATTGGTAATACATTTTGCCTTAATTGTTTCAAATTGCCTAAGAATTAAACGGTTTTGGCATGACCTTTTATCAAGGACCAATGAGTAAAAATTCTTGATAGAAAGCAGTTTCAGTGCAGTTGGCGAACACCCACTCACACCGTGAAGCGACAATTGGTCGAAAACGACAATTCGCAGGAGACAATAGATGGCCGACAGAGGAATAATAAATCAGTAGAAGGCTGGCATAGAGCTTTTCAAATTTCAGCTTGGGAATGAATTGCGCTCATCCGAGCATCCATAAGTATATTCAATTCATGCAAAAAGAGCACAACATGACCGAGAACAAAACTGCTCCAATTCAAGCATGAGAGTGTGAATAAATTGGCAAAATATGAAAAAAACCCAATCTCGTTAGTCGAATTCCTTAAAAATTACCAAAACACTACTGATTTCTAGATCACGTGTTATATAATTTTTTGCAGTTTCATGAGAACTTGAATTGTTTCTGACCAAAGTTTTTCGTCGGTACTAATTGTCGCTTGGTGCAAATAGTCGCTCTCTACGAATCGTCGCTTTTTTGTTCCGACTTTCGAAGAGAACGGAATACTTATACTTGGGTTGGTTTTTTTTATTCTTTCAATTTCGGCGATCGAAATAGAAATTTTGGACAATTAATTTTTTTACCCCATTGAAGAGATACCCTCATTGAAATCAATTTTCAAAATTTTTTCCCTCCGATCAGTTTTTTCAAATTTTATTCACAATGCAGAAAACGTAACGCGAATTATTTATGCGTGGCAAAAAATCCCGCACAAAAAATATTTCCCAACTTAATCGAGGCTAGTTAATCGGTCGTATAAAGTTCGTACGACTCAAGATTTCATACTTGAGCTTTGATCTTCATTTTTCAAAATTTTCTTTTCACAAAAATTAAGCGATATGGATTAAGGGCAGTCGGAACAATCAGGGCTTTGCCCACACACATATCTCCGACAAATTAATATCAGGTATCGTACCCTATTTGAGTTTGTATTATTTTGATTATGAGCTAAAAAAAAACTTCAAAAATATTGAATTTGAAATGAAAGTAATGTTAAGTTTTTCACGTCCATAGACTAGTTTTCGATTAACCCTACGAGAATAATTTGTTGATAGAACTAAGGCTTGGACTTAATTTCTGAATAACTTTGCTTTAATTGAACTTACCAACAATATTTGAGAAGAGAGATTCGGGTGCATTCAGTGTCCATGAAACGAGCAGAGAAGATTTGGAGATGCTCTTGATTTGTCCAATTTTCACTAGCCGACAAAATTGAAATTAAAAATGGGTTACATATAGCAGTAAGCAGGCAATTTAGTTCCCAGACAGAGAGGCTATCAATCAGGCAAATCGCTGAAATAATACTTTGCAGGCTATTTTAGCGGTTCAAAGCCTACTATATTACTTCTCAAACAACTTAAAGCATTTCTCTTTTGGCGAAAATGCCTTATATTGTGGTTATCAACCAGGTTATCCTTGAAAAATCAGTTTGAACTTAGCAAGATATGATCCATTTTTCTGAATAATCTAAAACCATTCAGTCTGCTCACTGACGAGTATGAATTGAAAAAGAAATCGCTGCGACAATTAATGGCAAAAATTGGAAAGAAACAAAAATTCATTATCTAACTATCTTCGTCTGACCTGAATATTGAAATCATACGGGGGCGGTAAACTAAATTTATAGGCCACGAGGCAAAACCGTTAACTAAATATATTAATCAAACAATAAATAACAACAAATAATCACTTTTGCCCAAAACGCTTCTCGTGGCGAAAAAAAATTGCAGTAAGCCTGGGTCAAAAACTCGAACTGCCCGAGCTTAAATAAAATTGCTTGTTTTTTTTTCAAAAAGCCGCCCCTTCCCCAGAAATTTTTTTTTGTAAACGCCTAAGTTTCAAACCTACCGTTTATGCGCTCCAGGGGTAGATTTTGTTGTTGCAAAGCATTCACGATGAAGACAGTCTTAAATAAAATATTAAAATTACTCACATAAACGGAAAAGCTTTTATTGTTGAGAATTTGATCTTACCAGAACGAAAAAGTGGGTATTAAGCATTTCCTTAAGTTGAAACTGCTAATTCCAAAATAAAGTGCGGATTGATTCAGTGAATTTCTTAACAAACTAAGAAAAACATGACAAGCCGTCAAAATTAATAAAAATCGACACCGTTTCCCAGTTAATTTACGATTTCATATCTAATTATGTGGCTGAGTAAGAAGTCAGCTTTTCACTTTCTATTGTCCATAGAATCAACCCCCACCCCCCTCCCCCCTAGAACATCAGCTCCCTCCTAATTTTGAAAGAGAGGGTCTTCCGGAACCCCAGTAAACTTCTATTCTATAAATTTTAAAGCCAAGTTTCAGAGAAAAAAAAACAGTTTTTTGTTTGCAACGCAAAAAAAATGTGGTTTGCATTAAATTAATGTAATTTAAAGCCAATTTAGGTGTTCAAAAAAAACTTGTGCCCAATTTTGGCAAGATATTAATCAGAATAGATCCAAATTTGCGGGACCCTCTGCTAATTTTCTAATTTTAAGATCCCGTAAAACGCCTGCTTTAGCCAAAAATGTTGAACTGCGATCATTTTTGACCCCTTCCCGAGCGAATTAAGCACTGCCGAGAAAACTATATCAAACTACAACTATGAACCGTAAATTGCATACAGATAAGAATAACAAATTTAGGACCGTTTGTGTCAGTCAAACTTTCAGAAAAGGGCAGAACAATTAAACATTTCTCGATTTTGATATAAAAGGTGCTAAGCTGGAGCAGTCATTGGTAAATTCAAATCCGATTTGATTCATAATCTCCATAAAATGAGAACAATGAAAATTTATCTTTATCTTTCGAAAAGAGAGATGCTTATCGGTACAAAATGTCACTTAAAAGACAAATCATGAGAACTTTGCAGTTCCGAAAAACTCTGCTAATCAAAAACTCTATTTTGAGAATTTGATGTTACGAGTAAGTTAACTTCAAATAATATCTCATCGATAAAAAATCAAAACTTTCAATTAAGCTTGAAGAGGTACTAGCAATACAGAATGCTCTGATTTTATTTATTTAAGCAAAAAATTTGAATTTTAAAAATTTTTTACAGATGATTTTCAGGTCTGTGAAAAATTAAATTTTTTTTAACCTACCATAGCATAATAAAATAACAAATGACTTTTTCAAAACCCACTACAAAGTTCCAGTTTTTTCAAAAACTTTCAACTTTCAGACAAAATCATCATTTCGGTTAGCTTAGAACACACGGCTCCATTTACAGCTTTCTTGTGCCTCAGAGTGAAAAAACGAGTTCCTAAATTGAAGAAAAAATCCTAATACAGCCTTCTTCACCACGAAAACTTGCCGACAATTATTGGAACTTAATTAACCGCCTCATTATAGGACTAAATCAAAATGACTTACAATAATTTTCTAATTATTTTGAACGAGAAAAAATCCATTGCTGTAGAAACTAACCGACAAAGAAGCAAAAGCAAAAAACCGACAACTATAACTTTCCCAACAGAAAACTTTCAGAAGTTCCAAAAAGTAAAGCTCCTGGCCGGACTCGAACCCCAGACCTTTTCGTTTCTAGCATGTATATTAGCTAAGCGAACATAAATTGTAGCAGAAATTAGAAAAGCAAAAATTGGGGGGAAAATTACTACCCGGTTGCACTACCTTTACTAATCATAACGGCTAAGACGTAAAGCATTATTTCTACATGGAAAAACTCTCCTTTGCAAAACATAAATTTTGGCCGTACCTAGGCAGCAAAAACTTGAGTGACAATTCACACCGTCTTGAAGCAAGCTTAAGAACCATAGCTGAAAAATCATTTGAAAAGACCATAATCTCAGATAAACAGTCAAATTAAAAAAAAAAAATCTTTCTACAAAATTGTATTTCCCAGATTGCGAACACTATCTAATAGAATTCATTGATTCGTTTAAAAACTTTAAATGCTGATTTGAAGATGGCTTTCATCATTTTAAAAATGTCAGCTGACACCTTGTGATTAAAAGTCAATTTCCTTAACCATACCATCTCTCAAATGGAAAATGAAGACAGGAACAGTAGTACTGTCAAAAAATCAAAATAATTATTTTGTACATTATCCCGGAAAAAGCACACAAACACGTGAGATTTAAGCATTTTTTAAGAAAAACCCTAATAAAATGCGAACAAATTTAAATTAGTAAAAACCACCTTATCAACTAATACCGAGAAATTTTAAATAAAAACACTCCCAGCTTTTTTCAATTATTTCTTTTGCATCTTCAAAAAAAAACGTATTTTCAAACAACCACTAAACTTAACAGCAAAAATTGTGGCTCTAAATGAGGCTTCGAAAATTCTTGCACTATTCTAACATCTACAATAACCTAAATACCGGACAAGGAAAATCTTCGAAATGCAAAAATTTTAAACGTTTTTTCTCGACAACCAATTCATTTAATTAGTTCTTGAATTTGATTTTGCGGATACAAAAAAGAAGCACATCCGAAGTCAAAGTTCTTGTCTGCTTTCAATGGTCGGAACAACAAAGATGCAGTAGGCCGAAAAAAAACAGCCAAAAAACAAAAAATTATTGGAAAAAAATTTTCATTAGACAAAAACTAAACTGAGGTAATTCAGGAACCAAACATGTCACAAATAAACAATCTTGCGAAGCATGCTAAAACTTTATACAAAAAAGATGTGTCCATGTAATTTTAGAAGCCAAAAAAGCAAATTCAAATCCCTGTATAAGCTCTGAAACCACCAAAGGAAACAAAGCGACATGAATTTAATAAAGACGCCAAAATCTAATCAAATACGGTTTCTTCAAATGGTATGATAGGTGGGTACTCAAAATAAGTACCTTTTCTGCGCAATTGATTGATTTAGATACGCTATCTTATCTGCTCCGAAGGAACTGTTTGGAAAGATTAGCGTGAATAAAGACAACCACCCAAAAATTATATAAATGTTCTATCATTATAATGTAAAAGCTCCGGCGTTTCGATTTTTTTAAATGGTAACTTAATTATACTTCGGTTGATTTAGGTTCCACCGAAATGCTTTATGCTGAAAAACAACTAGAACTTGACTGGAATATTTTTATTTTATTTTCTAATACAATTGCTTTCAAAAGTATAAGCACATAAGGAGATTGCACTCGCATACACCATTAATAAAAAACAATGAAAATAGGAAAAAGTAATTTTTTGATTTGAAGATACTTTCCCAAAAAAAAAGAAACATCAATCCCTGAAACTACGTAATCAAAAGAACTAGCGTGTAACGCACCTCCGGTGCTTCGAGTTTTTAACAATTCAAAAAACTGCATGTATTGGAAATAGAATCTGCATCTTTCGAAAGTATTGTGACAGCACCAAATTACAGGGTTCATAATATCAAGTTTTAAAAAAATTTCAAGTTTTTTTTAATTCAAAATTTGAAAAACCATAAAAAATTTGTGTTCATAAAGTTTTTTTATATCGAAGTTGTTTAAAATATATATAAAATGAAATAAGAAACGTCTCGGAAACTAAATGCAATTGAGCAGTTGCATTTGGACGCAAGATTTGCAACTCCTGAGAGTGCTCTTTCAGTATCCAACAACAGCGTTGGAAATTTCTAACTCTGAAAAACTTACAACTTAAAATTTTGAAAAACCATACAAGACGTCATATCTCGAAAACTACCAAAATTTGAGCAGCAGTCACATTTGAAGCCTTCCAAGCCCTGATAGTTCTCTGAAAGCCCCTCCTCTCAATTCCCTCCAGCCCCCCCCCCCCCCCCCCACTACAGATCTGAGAGTATTCTGACAGCCCTCAGCTACGGAGTTAAGAATTTTTTTAAATTTTGAAAAAAATTTCGGTTTTCTAAAAGTTTCTGGAAAAATCACAAAAAATCACATCTCGAAAACTACACGAAATTGAGCAGTCGAATTTGGAGGCTAAAACAACTCCTGGGAATACCCTGGAAGTGCCTCACTATAGAGATGATTCTTTTGTGAAATTTTTTATATCCAGTTTCTTTGAACAATTAAAAAAAAGACAAAACAAACATAACAACTTGGAAACTAAGAGCGTTTGAGCAGTCGCATTTGGACGCAAGATTTGCAATTTGCGACTCCTAAGAGTATCCTCACAGCACCCAACTACAAAGTTGGGAAATTCAATTCTTTCGATAATTTGAAATCTGTTTTCTAAAAAATTTACAACAAATCATAATATACTATGAGCAGTCATAATTGGAGGCAACAATCGCAATCCTTGAGAGTACTCCGAAAGCGCCCAATTACAGGGTTGGGATTTTCAAATTTTTGTATATTTTTTATATGAGTTTTCTGAAAAATTTTGAAAGCACCACAATAATCGTCGTATCTAGTACACTAAAAGGATTTGGGCATTCATAATTGGAAACCAAATTTCCAACTATTGGATAAGTCTGACAGCATCCCACTATTAGGTTGCTACGTTCAAATTTGGGAAAAACGCTAAATTCAAACTGAAGAATCGAAAAAAATTCTCAACCATTGCAATATACGATATAGCTTAAACGAGAAAAAATTCTTTCGTTAAACATGCAAAAACGATACTTTGAAAAAGCTTAAACATGGCGAGATAGTGAAGCCCGCATTTAAATATAGAATAGACTTTGAATCTAAAGCAATGCCTGAAGTTGATCCGCAAACAAGCAACCAACACTGTTATTTCTTCTCAAACAGTTTCCAAAAAAAAACTGATTAAGAACCAGAGACAACAGCCGACCAAACCTCCTTTGTGCCGGTTTCGATATGAAAGTATTTTACTACTAGTGCTGCTAGAGAACTGAATAGCTCATGCTATTTGAGTAAAAACTATAACTCATACTCATTGCACCCCCAGTAACGACTTACATTGAATTCGTTTTATAGAGCAAACATTGATAGTGTGAAAGTTACAAGAGCTAAGACATCATTTTAAAGTTCTCAAATTTGAAGAAGTAAATCATGATCGACTGCTTACAACGCAACTCTAACTTAAAAATGACCTTAAACCGGATCTACTTAAAAATCGCCATCCTTTGGTATCTACTTAAAAATTGCCACCCCTATTAATAAAAGCAGTAAATTAGCACTAAGCTTTCTATTGAGACTCATTATTTAGCTG